GGACTTTATTTGGGCCCTTGATTCGGCGCCCCTAGTTTACGATGATGTTATTAGGCACATAAGATCAAAGGATATGGAAGATATGTCGTGAAAAGTGATCTKTAAAATGATCGGACCTCTAGTTATCGACTAATCGATATCACTACCACCTCACGTATCGACTGATGTCACCTAGTGCATAATCAAAACCGATGTATAACATTAATTTTATTCTGAATCTGATTTGCCAAGAATAGATATTTTTATTGCTCTGGGTGTCTAGTGAATCTGATAGCAAATGCTGACTGTGTATTTTTAGTGTAATAACATGATCACTTCGGGATCCATAGTTCTCCAGAGGGACGTTTAATCGCTAACATCCCTCAGGACAAATAGTGAGGAGGGACGTTTAGTCTAAATATCCCTCATGAATTTAAACACAAGGGACGATTAGACTATTTGTCCCTCATGAATATATTAAAGAAGGCTAAGGGAGATGCTATGGCCCCTAGACCATAGATGAACAACCCCTTGCTATGACCAGAAAACTCTACTTTTCGATTGTGACGATGCCTTTGAACGGATACTCATTCCTTTCCATGTGGGACGCGTTTAGTAATAGTAAACGGCACGTGCATCATAGTAAACTTGCTCTCTTTTTTAAAAGAAAACCTTAAAAGGTTCATCTCCGCGTTGGTCTATGTGGAAGATATATCGAGACATTTGGTAGCACACTTTTTATCGTTGTTCTTTAAAACAAAAACAAACAAAAAATGTTACCCTATTCGAGTTGCGCTTCCTGTTCGAAAACGATATGCTTGGGCTCCCTGTGTTATACGCGGCAACAGTTAGTTTGACCAGCAGACATTCCTGTAATCAGATAGCTACTTCATAGAATTTTATAAAGAGCGTCTCAATACTTTGTGTTCTCGGAAAGGGTATGTGTTCCGTTCATAAATGAAGTATATACTTTATTCTTGCCACGCAGCTTGTTTTTAACTTTTTTACATCAAAAAATGTATTCAATATGATTAAGATGCGAAGAGAAATCTAAGATTAAAGTAGACTTTATGGATAAGAGAAGAAGAAACCGTATTCAAGGTTCTTGGGCATCACAAGCAAGGATCAAATCGACTCCAAAACAAGCAGACAAACCAGAAGACAAACAAGAAGAAAACTCCAAAACACAAGCACAAACCCAACAGAAATTTGTCTTCCAAGCTGATGTTGTTAATAAAACGAAGCGAGCTCCACCAGAAAGGATAATTACAAAGGAAGGCAGCCATGAGCTCAGTACAGGACCGACTGGGAAATCTGTTATAGAGTTCGTACCGAGCTTTTTCAGTAAGGAAGAAAAGGAATGGATGTTTGAACAACTTGAAGCAGACATTCCTTGGGAAGAAAAGAAGATTAAGATCAAGGGTAAAAAAAAAAAAAAGAATTTATTTATCTTTCGTTCACTAAAATTTTCTTTAATACGTTCAGTAATTGTTTTATTATAATGATGCAAAATTCTTAGATTGATGGAAACATTAGCCAATGAACAGTCAATACATTGTACAACTTTCCCATTGTATCCAAATAAAACTCACATCAAAACAAGATTTCCCCCGGGGGGGATACTCCCATATATGGACTATACGGGGATGATCCGCTGAGCAGGGTATGGTTTTTCGAGCTTCTGGTCATAAACAGGGTATGCAATTTCACTCAAATTCCAAGTTCTTCCTGAGTTTTCCGTCATATTCAGGGTTTGTACTTTTGCATTGACCGAAACTGGTTACTATGGTTGTAAAAAAAAAAACAATACGCGAGATGACATGATAATTGAGACAGGAACTCAGTGCAATATATCTTTTGTCATAAACAGGGTCCACAAATTTGAGTTTTTTTTGTCATAAACAGGGTAATCCTTTCAGAATCCCAGCAGAACACCCCTACCCAAATTCTGGCGGAGTACCCCCCGGGAGATTTTCCAGCTGGGTTGACCAAGTTCCTCAAAAGGAATCATGGATCAACTAGTTTTGTTTAGTATTTTCCTAGCATGGACTGAATGTAGATTTTTTTTATTTAATCATATTTAATCACATATTTACCCCAAGAGGAAAAAAAAGGAGGTCTTCAAGGAGGTTATCAAGGAAGTCTATATTATAATTGTACGATGTAGATTTCTCTTGTCTATTAAAATGGAAGTCCGCCATGAGTTTGACTGGCGTTTATGATCAATAAATTATATTTTAAGAATGAAGAATTCATATTTCACAGGTTCTCTTGGCAGAATCATGGGAAACGCTAATCAAGATATAATGTGGAATCCTCATTTCTGATTGGTTGACCTTGAGTTGGTGTGAATGTCTACTCAGCTTTTTTGTTTGAATATAACACAGGCCAAAATTGACAGATCATGAGATATTTTTTAGGAGAAGCCTGTTCTCTGAATCCACCAATCCTTTTCAACTGCACACAACACTGCTAGTTTTTTATTTATAAAAAGTACAATAATTAGAGTAGCCATTATTTTTTATATAGATAATGTAATAGAAAGTGTATACGCACGCGTACCATGATGTGCTCTCATATTGCATGTAATAGAAAGTGTATGCACATGTGTAC